TGCACCAACTTGCAACAACTTTTTATCTCTGGTGCATTCTGGTGCATTTAGCAGGGTTAGGTTTAATAAAAGCACTGTTTATACAAGATTCTGTTTATAGCAAGGAAGATGTTAGATCCCAATCCTTTGTTTTTCATTCTTTTAATTCCTGATAATACAAGGTTTCTGTTATAACAAGGTAATTTGCCAAGCTCGTAGGACCTCTTATTAACGAGGTTCGACTGTACATTTTTATTTTATTAACAATTCCTGTAACTGGTGGGCAACCGCTGTTGGTGATATAAATAAATAAAATAGATTTTTAAAAATTTCATTATAATAATCTTCAAATCATGTGCATGTGCCTCCTACGGTAATTTGTTCCAGTGATGCCATTTTGATCTGTTTGCCAGGGGTGGCTCAAGAAAGCCACCTCCACAGAGAAGAAGAAGAAGAGTTTTCTGAACCGGCAGACCAGCGCTTGGAAGAAAGGTTACTTTGTACTGCTGCGCCGGCATGATCCGGAGGAGGGAGAGGAATGCCCGTTTGTGTCTACGTACGAGAAGGAATCAGTAACAGAATCTGAAACCCCCAAGGGTAAGGGAAAGCAGAAAAAGGGGGGTAATTTTGAGACATCTGGGTCGAGGAAGGAAAGGACGACAGGTGTGCTTGTCGTGGTTCCGTTATGCCATGTTCAGACTGAGGTGGAGTTTTCTGAAACAGGATTGGTGCCCATCTTGGGGGACTTTCTAGTGTTCGTCTCCGAGGAAGGGTATTTTTCAAGGTTACTTCTCAGAAATGGGAAAATAGGCCACAGAGCTGGCAGTTGTCACCTGGACCACTTGGACTTGTCCAAGGGTCAAATAGTTTCAGGAAACTGAACTTGCTCACCAGGGAAGAAAAAAACGCAGTTTTTCTCCCCTGGAGAATGTTGAAGACTAAGGAGAGGAATTGCTGTGTCATCTTCTGACACATGTCGATCAGCACTGTTGCCAAAGCATGCAGGTTTCTTTTTGTTGTAATGGCTAGGCGTTTTTTCATGATTTCTAGACACGCCTCACAATGTGCATGTAGTAACCAGCTTTTGAACAATTCAATAAGCCAGATTTAACTACCTCCCAATTTTTTAAAGTTTTAAATGCCTGTCAAGTCAGTGCTCTGCAGTCCAAGAAGCATTCGATATTCAAGATATCCACTTGTAGCCGAGCCAAGAATTCCACCCATAGACATGATGTTGTATCCTAGATCTTTCGAGTATAATTTGTCAGCGATGATGTTGTTTTTTCCCCACAGCTTCGCTGAAACTCTGGCCTCACTACCGCGTGGACAAGAAGCACGATGAGGCAGGCAAGCTCTTCATCTTTGAGGTGCGCACTCCACAGGACAGCCTGAGGCTGATGGCGGACTCCGAGGCCGTCATGGACCTCTGGGTCTTCTACCTGCAGATCCAGACCAAACTCAGACACGAGTTCCCAGGTAGACAGGCAGATTTGCCGCCTTTCAGGTAGACAGGCAGATTTGCCGCCTTTCAGGTAGACAGGCAGATTTGCCGCCCTTCAGGTAGACAGACAGATTTGCCGCCTTTCAGTTTTTCGGTTTTCTTTTCTCAGGAAGATCTAGTGACTCTCATGTACTTTTCATTTGTTTAAGATAAGATTATCTCATCCTTCTACACTGAAACTGCGTTTGATGAGCTTCTGTTGGCATAGATTGGAGACCTACATGTCAAGAGTTGTAACGAGTCACTACCTTTTGTGACTCGAGTCGAGTTGAGTTATATATAACGGTTTGCCCGTACCCAACGTATATTAATAAGCACTGTATGCTCAGTACATCTAATACAAAATACATCTTGAAAATCGAGTTGAGTTATTGCAACGATGTGACTCAAGTTGAGTCATTAGGCAAAAAGTCGAGTTGAGTCAAGTGTTTAGTTTGAGTCAATTCAAGTCACCAATATTTGAACACAATACAGTACATGAAAATGAGACGGAAGTCTTTTTTGGCATTTTGAATTTACCTCTTTGTTTCTACATCGTGTTCATATCACATCTTACCCTTGATAAAAATTGCACGTGATATGAACTTTATAAACTGGCACTGTAAGTCAGTGCAAATATTTTTTCCAAAAAGAAGTTGGCTTTATTTTTTGGACTCGAGTCTCATGAGTTATTACGACTCCGCTGTATGTAAGGTCATTTATACAGGTGAAAAGGATGGAGGATTGCTATTGATTTTCAATGTGCAAGGGCTCTTATAAAGGTCTTCGCCTCGAATACTGTTCTTACAACTTTAATTCAGGATTCAGTTCAACAGAGCTGGTCACTTTTTTGTTTCGAAAGCTCATTCAGATGATTTACACCTTGAGTTTTTTTTTGGGGGGGGGGTAATTACAGCAAGGCGTAGTTCCCCAACCCCTGGTAAGCGAAACCTATGGGTGTTATGTAGCAACAGAGAGGGCTGTCGGCCTAACTTGCACAAGAAGAAGACTCCGCCCCCGTTATTCACTTTCCTCCATGCCCCGTGTTTGCATTCAAGGTTACTGCTTCGAGGTGACACCAGACGAGTCGGATCCGATGAGACGAATAGGCGCCAAGGGGTCAAAATGCCTGCTGCACGTCTCCAAGTGGGGCTTGACGTTAGCTCTCAAGGTAGGTCCTACCTAGTTGCTCCTTACCTCTTTGATATACTGCCAGACTCATGAGCAGATGAGTTCGGACAGAGTGTCCAAAGGACATGTAACGCTCGAAGCCCAAGAAGCAAATCCTGTTGGACTTTTTTTCTCCGTTTTCTGTGCTTGTTATATAAACTGCGAGAGTGTGTTCTCACATGACCTTGGTTTGTATCTGATCAGAAGCTGATAAGGGCAGAATGAAATTAATGTCGGAACCTTTTGACGGACTCCTTTTTCGGCCTGATTTCATGAGCTCTCTCCATGTTACGCATACATTAAGAGGCTCTGGCATACTGCTTTCAACCAGTCAACCAGCACTTTCAACCATTGAGCTGTCCCACATACTTGGAAGCCTTCAACAGGGGCCAAATTCAATCATTACCAGGAGAATGGACTTGTCAGGTTCTGTTGTCTTGGCTGAAATCTCCTTGGGAAAAAATACACCTCTATCAACTTCAACCACCAGGCTTGATGTGTTGTCCTGGCACTTGAATGCCAAACTACTATATGCCATTAGCTTTTTTTTCTGTTCTCTCCCGTTGATTCTGAAGCCCTGAAGCATCATTTTTTTGCAACTTAAACCTCATTTTTTGGTGGGGTGGCATTTTCGTTTGCCTGCAGCGCACCCGGTCCGTGCTTGCCCAGTGGCCCCTGAAGAGCATCCGCATCTTTGAGAGCTCGGAGACGGGGGCATTCTCCTTCGAGGCGGGCCGCAGCGCGCCCATGGGGGAGGCCCGCTACCTCTTTGCCACCAACCCCGGTGAAGACGGGCGGATGTACGACCTCCTGGATGCATTCACCACCGAGATGCAAGAACAGGTCGGTGTGGTTTGGGGGGGCCGCTTAGGATAGCGTCACCAAGCCTGTTGTGGAGAACCATTATAACAGGGTCCTTGGGACTTTACAAATGACATATGCCTTGTATTACTAGAAATAGAAAGCAAAAGGAAAACTAAGACTTGGGACCTACTGTTGTCCTTGTTTATAAACATGACTTTGTGTAACTCGTGGTTTACATTCAAAATGGCATGAACCATATTTCGTACTTAATAGCAGTGTTATATAGAGGTTATGCACGGCAGCCATCTTCCTGGTCAGTGCTTTTGTTTATGGGGGATATTCACGAAAGCTCTGCTTATGTGTATCCCTAAGGAACAAAAACACTGACCGGGAATATGGCTGCTGTGTACAACCTCTATACTCTATTCACTAAAGTCCTTGTATGTTCGTCATAATCCCAGTACAAGTCATCCGAGTCAAGTCCTCACAGGTAACTCACAAGTCCTGAATAAGTCAATCTGAAGTCAACCATATTTCCACCACTTGTATTAACAATTGCATTTTCAAACAATACTTCCAAATAAACATTAGATAATTCTGAAGTTTTGGGGATATGTGTTTATTAAGTAAATTTAAGGCACGTTCAGCATCATCTCTGTTCTCATTTTCACCAACGCCCCGTTTTCACGACAGAGAAACGACGGGTCAATCGATCCCAGCCAGCCAGCGACAGAGGAAGAAGTGATCAAGGAATACGAGCGGCTGCGGTTGGCCACGTTTGGTCTCCTGGGTCAGAGGTCAGCATCAGGTCAGTACCGAAACACGGCTTTGGTCATCTCTGGCTTCAACCTTTTCTGGCTTTGCTTTATTCAAGTTCGTTAATATGAAGCGGAGAGGTATCATAAGTGCAAAGCATTTGTGGTTTTCAAGTTCCACCCGCATGCTCAACATTTTCTTCCGCAAGTTCACGTGAACCTCTGCGCTTCACGATTCTTCGTTTACCGTTGTGCACTTTGAAAAAAATTCAACCAGATGAAAGCACTTAATTCATGTTCAATAGTCCGCCTCATTTCACAACATCATGAAATCCTAAATAAGTTTCAAATGAAGGTTCTTTGGTTTTTTACGATACTTTGGGAATCAAGTGGATTTATTTAACCTCATGCATCACTGTGGTACTCTTGTCTCTAGCCTGAAAATCACCTGCTCATAACGGTTCAGACTGTGTGCACTTTACATGGTCTTGGGATCCCTGGATCATGGCAAAAGTTAGGCTTTATTGCTCAATGTGCACATTTTGGAGCATCTGCAAAACTCGTCTGCTTTTTACCATCGCTTTGAAAGAAACTTGCAATTCCAAAATTGAAAGAAACCTGAAAAAGGGCTGCATCTCACCTGATTGCTTTGTGCCTTAATAAAACCATCTCTGCTTGGCATAAGCCCAAATAAATCCTGTTCAAAATTAGTTGTTTGCAGTGAGCAAAAATTACGGAAAGACCTAATGCTTGAGGCTCCGTGCATGTGCCCAGCTACATCCCGAGCCATGAAAATGTAGTGTTGCACAATTTCAGCACTCTTTCTGTAATGTGCACCGTTACCATGTGTGAACCAGTGTCCTCACACGATCTATCCTCGCTCGCTTCTTGGATGTGGATCCCGCAGTGCCCTCTGTGGTTCATGCATGGAACCCACTAAGAACGCAGCCCAAGATAACTTCAACAGTGGAACAAGAAGTGCCAGAAATGCAAAAGAAATCGGGGAGTTTCACAGCAATCAGGGCACTTCACCACTTCAACTGCTCCATTTCACCTCTTGCTGTGGTCATTAACACATATCTTCCCTTCCCCCTCCCTTGCTGCCCCTTCCCTGACCCCTTTCTGACACCCCTCCTGAACCAGTTCGGAGCACAGGGACGCCCTCAGCCAGCATGGCTGTCCCCGTTCCTGTGCCCCAGAGCCGAGGGCCCACCACGGGGTACGATCACCTGCACAGAGGACAAGAAGGTTTGTGTCAAGTCGCACTGTCCGTCAGTGAGCCAGTTGGGTATTTCAGAAAGGCGAGGTCATCTGAGAACAAAGCCTGCATGCGAATTTGCGTATGACTATGCCGCTAGGACAGATACTGTGCGTGTGCAGTATATCGCTATTCCCAAATAACCTCGGACGCCGTTCACTTTGGCATAGGCTGTTGGAATACCGAACTGGCTTACGGGATATATATATTTCAAAATCCTATAGTACGAGAGGCTTTGGATACTTGGTGGTAGTGAACATACCGGTCCCACGGGACTGGTCCTGTATCGTTTGTGTTGCATTTGAACTAACGTGGGCATGCTCAAAATGGTGCAGTTAATAGTAGACCTGCTAGTGAGATAGGTGTGTTTGGCGCCACCAAGTGTCTCAAAAGTCTCCCATTGTTTGGAGCTACCTCGAACTTCTAGAGAAAAGTATTCACAAAACGTAAGGTTTGAGTAATGAAATGAAGAACTGAAGATTGACAAATTTTAAAGAGTAAAGAACTGATTGGTGCAAAACACCCTGAAAGATTAGTCTGTGTGTGATAGAAAGATCCATCACGTTCTGCATTTTCGGACAATCGTCCGATGGTCAGCTTTTACTAGCACCAGATCCAATGCCAGATTGGTTCAGGAACATGAGTGTGGCATAAGTTTGTCATGGTCTTTATTGGTTAATTAATTAGACTCAGCCACCTTCCACTTCTATATAACTGTGTGGGTGTCGGGAGTGTATTTGAACAACCCACTTTGACAGTTTTGAGAGGCTTTCAAAACTAACAGGCATCTCCGGAACCGACTCAATGGGTTTTGAGAACTAGCTAACATGGCTTGTTGCAAATAACTAACTCATGATGATACTCAAGTGATTGAAACTGACAACCATCTCCGGTAATGACTCAATGAGTTTTGAAAACTAGCTAACATGGCTTGTTGCAAATAACTAACTCATGATGATGCTCAAGGTAGTACTGCTTTGCATGTTATTGCATTGCCTGGAAACATGTTACGTGCACTTAACCCAAAAAAGACGTTTAGGTAAAAGTACACTACTTGAAAAGAGAAATTGACATTGATGTGAAAAACTTAAGGTGAATAAACAGATTTAGAAATATTTGTCCATGAACTAATGAATTTTTTGTAACGTATACGTTTTTCCAAATGAGATTTTAAGTTGTTTCATAGGGCATTTCTAGAATGGGGAAAATTGTAGTTTGTTCGAAGCATTTGAATATTGCAGTGTTTGGTTGTAATATCTTTTTTTTCTTCAGAAATTGCACGACAGCATTCAGAGAGGTTACCTGGTGCAGGACCCACTCAGACCCAAGGCATCCCCATCCGTGCCAGCCCCACCAGGTCGACTGGTCCCCCTCTCCCCCCGCGCCAACAGGGGCTGAAGAGCCCGCCCTCAAGCTTTAAGCGCTCCTACTCAGAGCGAGGGCACAGCTTGGAGAAGTACGGCCGAAGCCTGGAAAGGCAGCGTGACCTCCCTCTCTCCCCAGGTGAGGACCCGTACACCACCATGAACTCCTCCAGCCCGTTGAGCAGAGGGTCCAGAGGTCACAGGTCATTCACCGAGGCCGACATGCTGCAGTTGGCTCGGAGTGGCGAGAGTTTCGGGAACATCCTCACGGGGGATCAATTCCGGCACCTGCTGAGGAGCAACTCCAACAAGGGCACATCCGAGTATGAAGCCATGGCGCTTCGACTCGGCCACAACCCCTATCAAAATTCGGGCATGTCCTTGCTGCCCAACAGCTACGAGAACACGCCCCTCATCAGCCCGAGCCCTGGGGATGGCGTTTTCCCGGGCTTACCGAACATGGGATTTGTCAGCTCCCCACATAGCCTTGAGCCAGGGCCCCTGGTTCCTCCCAGGAAATACCAGCCGCCTGGCAGGACCTCCACAACGGCTGAGGTACAGGCCGACTTCCGCGGCCAACATCAGCCAATCAGACACACTTACTTCCAGCACATGATAAACAAACATGGAGCGGGGGCACGGAGTCCCACCTCAGCGTACATGTCGCCCCCTAGGCATGCAGGCGCCAGGAAGAGGCTTCCTTCCGATCTGCCAGGGTACTCCTCTGTCAAAGACGGGACGCTTGGATCGCACCAGTACCAGGAGGTCTTTCTGTTCAACAGTCCCCGGGGAACCCTTCGCCGATCCATGTCCGCGGATCGCTTGTTCAGGTTCAGGAATTCTTCGGTCAGCAGCTGCACATCGTCAGCTCTCTCCGTAGTCTCGCCCCTCATTGGAGCCTTGGACTTATCCACGTACAACGCCCGGTCATCCAAGGTCCCCAGCTGGGTGAGTTTTCGTCAGCTACCATCCCCGCCTCCTCCAGGCACTCACGCCCCAGATTTCAACACCTACTGCGGGTCCCCCCATGCACCCTTCCCGCCTTTCACAGATTTTGGTGCTTTTGCCACCGGCCAGACCCCTTACAGTGATATCAAGGGCAACCGGAATTCTTTCAACAACAACAACCAAAGACAATCTGTTGGGTCAGGGAGCCAAGCAGAAGCCCACATGCGGGCAGCTCCCATTGTGGGCAGTGAAGGGAAATCCAAGGAGAACATGGCTCCGAGAGATGCAACGGAGGAGGTAGGCTACCTTGAGCCAGTTTTCAAAATGAAAAGATCTCGATCAGAAGCTGACATTCTAGATGTTGACGGCTCTGAGGATGCAGTGACGGAAAGGAAGAAACCCCAACACCGATCCCGCAGCAAATCCAAGGGATTTTTTGCAACCCTGCGGAAGAGAACTAACTCCAGCTCCAATGTTTCTAAAGAAGGAGCCTTTTCTCTTTCTGGGGGAAACGCAGCAAAGGAGAAGCCTTCCAAATCAGCAATATCCCAGATGAAACGCTCCCAGTCTAATCCAGACCTCCTCGACGACAAGCCCAAATTCCCATCCCAATTGTACAAGCCGCAGGGTTACAATGTGGCTGCTGTCAAGCCTGCCAGCCACTCCACGAATCTCGCACCTGTCACCCGCCGGAAGAAGTTTGATTTCTCCCTGAAGCTCTTCCGTCAGAACAGCAAACCCTCTGAAGAGGAAGGTGTTGGAAGCGACGGTAGAGGCAGCGATGGTGAGAGCAAGTCACAGCGACGGAGCAGCAAGTCATCCCTCTCAGAGGCCAAGTACTCACCTACATCACAAGCCCAATCGGTCGAGAACGCCCCAATCTCACTGGGTGTGAAGGGAATCGTCGCATCTGAAAAGGCGATATCATTTCGGAAAGCCAGCCCCTCTGGTCCAATTCAGAAGCAGTCACCCAGTCCAACAGCAAAGCCCGCAGTAGCTTCAAAGCCTGGTGCGGCATCCCACTCAACCCCCATGAATATTGTGGCTCCGAGGTTGCACTCACCGAGTCCTGGTGAGACATTTGCTGTGTTGCCCACTGAGAAAGCTGCCCGGGATAGACTCAAAGAGGTGGCTAACAGACCTCTGCCAAGTCCTCCCAAAAGTAGTATGCAGGCACCCAAAGATGCTTCCAATCGATCTGCAGTAAGGCGATTCGCCCCTGGCATGAACCGACACCACAACGGCTTGGACATCGAGCAAGGCACGCCCCTTAAGAAGTCAAATCGGGCCAAGAAATCTGCTCCACCTCCACCTCCCCGCGATCCAAACACATCCCTGGACAGCATCTCGTTGAAGTCCTCCCGCACGAACTCTGATGCCTCCGACTTTGAGACCACCGCAGTAACGAGGCACATTTTGTCAGAAACCGGCAAGTCCCTGTCCGCTACAGGATCCGAGAGGAGAGTGTCTGTCGACGGCACGTCACACCAGTCTTCGCGCCCCAGCTCAGATGGGTCCCAGTACGAGAACTCTGACTTTGAGTCCATGCCCATGCAGATTGGCACACCACCAGGAAGCTTCTCAGAGAGGAACTCAGGCATTTCCCTGGACGCTGGTAGACTCGGCGTATCCCCCTCATTTGCCGAGGTAGACAGGAGAGCGTCTTTCGGTCACATTTCGCTCCGGTCCTCCCGTTCCAACTCAAATGCATCTCAGTACGAGAACACCGACTTTGGCTCCATGTCGGCTGAAAACGGGACACCCCCTACCCACAGCATTGGCAGTGGAAGTCTTTCCAGTAGAAATTCAGCCATTTCAGTGGAGGGTCGCAGAGTAGGCAAGTCATCCTCTTTTTCGGAAGCAGACAGAAGGTCAGTCGGAAGTGTTTCACTTCGATCTTCAAATGGCTCTCAGTATGAGAACACGCATATCTAATCAGTTTGTACTGCAACAAATTAGAAACTTGCTCTTGTAAGGAGGATTGAGGACTGTTAGGTTTAATGTTGGTTTTTTTCGATTCACGTGCATACTTTTTAATAAAGTCTAGTGAGAGTAACATCATGGCCAATTTGTGGCAGGACTTAATCCATGCATCCTATCTCTCACATGTAGCTTTCCAATCCAAAATGCAACAGGGTCTCTCAATGTGGCATGGACCATTTTGAAACTCCGATTGTTGAGTCTGAACTTCTTATAAGAATCATGTTATTCACAACATGCACACCATTTATTTCCTCAACGCTGGCGTTATCTTAAAAACTGAAGCTTGTGGCACATTTAGATGTGCCTTCCATCGAGCATCCATTTTTTTTGTTGTAAAGCTAGAAAAATTTCATGTTTCGTCCGGGAAAATGAGAGATTCAGTCTGTTGTGTCCTCACAGTGACTCGAAAAGAAAACAGCAGTAACTTTCACACGGACAAACTAGATCCTCTGGCACAGATGAGTGCGGTGCAAGGTTATTGCTGCAAACTGTCCTGCTTATGGACAGCCAGTTAACCCATGGTAACAATGCAGTGAATGAATCTCTGAATTGTGACAAAACAATGTGTATTAATTAATAATACATGAATTTTAATTTTCTTGCACCTTTAAGTTTTAATCTAAATCAAACTTTTTTGCTGATACATGTATATGAATATTTTTTTTTCAGATTTCCTGTCTATCTTGCCCTCTAAGTTTTTGGAATTTAGCTGCTTTGAAACATTCAATTTTTGGTTTGGTTTGATCAAAAATAAATCTTTTCCAGTTAAACAACTGTAATATTCTGTGAAATCAACATTGTACTGCAGCCTCGCAACGGTAGGCCTATTGGCGTCCATAGTTAATTCCACGGTTCTCATTTCCGACTGACCCTTATTTTTGGCTTCAACTAAGGATGAAACAAATTTTATGTCACTGACCTTGGTAGGAATTTCCGACCAAGAAAAAATTGAGAAAAATGATAATTTCAAGAATGTTCATTGAGAAAGCATTTTTTTGCCCCTATTTTTTCCAACAGACCAACCCTTCCTCAAAGTAGAAAAATTATGAGGACCATTTGAATAAAAAATGGACCCCTTATTAAGAAAAAGCTGCCGCCTGAAATTAATAAAATGTTACCTTGAATTCTAAATGCTATTAAAAATTTTTATCAGGCTTATACTGGCTTATACTGAACTTGTAGAATTTTACATTGACAATTTTGCATTACAAATGGAATCTGATCTTTTACACCAACGATTTAAAGATGCAAATTAGGTTAATGTGGGAAATGTCGGCATGAAATGGAGAGGAGATTACCAACCAGTAATATTCTGTATATTTGCGAGGGTTTACAATAATATCCATTTCTGTCTTTTTTAAAAATCATAAAGGCATTGTGAATATTTTTGCTCAGAAATTTGGTGACATGAATACCCTGAAATCACTGCACACATCTTAATCTATAAAAGCCATATGACTAAGGTAACTATTGTACTTAATCAAGATGTTAGTTTGACATTCAAACTGTGTGTTCCTTAGTTAACAGTGTGAGACCTATGTACATACCAGTCTCTAGTATAGAAGTGTGCTTGTAAAATTACGTATAATTTCACTGAAAAAGATAAATCCCCACCACCAACAAAAAAGTGTGTTCAAATACAAAGTTGTTAATACATGCTGCTAAGGGTGTGGCTGGATGTAGCATGGATCGCATTACACTGGGGGGGTGTTACACCCCAATTGTGGCCACGGCCCAA